TTCTCATTTTTTTGGATAAAATATTTAATGTCTTGAGTCTTTGTTTAATAGGGAGGGATCATCCTCTTTTACCCTTCCCATTTTCACTTCGTCTTGGGCCAACAGGTACTCTTTGATTTCTGCCGATGACCTCCCTCCGGAAAATAATGTGTGTCGAAGGCAAAGTTCTAGCTGATTAATTATTTATTTCGATACTTTTGTATCCTATCGTTCATTTAACATGCTGTATTGGACCATTCTATGTAGCTCCATGAGCTGCTCCTTATTTCATCATTAGACTCAAGTTTGCCGGAAAGCGTGAGTAAATTGGCCGACTTGAAAACGCATCAGACTTGCAACCCTACTACTTAGGCTGGTAGCTAGAAAATTCTCCCCTGGTTTCCCTTCCAGGAGCTGGGATGTGTCGGGAAGAACCTAGCGCGAGTAGAACTTAATTATGGGTCTTCTGAAGAAGCATGCACTTAGTTCTTTCTTCTATCTTGGTTCTCTATGTATAAAGAACTGACTTGATCACGTGAAAATACCTGTTCAGTTACTCATTAGGCACTGCTATCCTACATAATATTCAACTAGAGTAATTGCAGTTTTCAAAAATACATGCAATGGCGGATCAAGGGAGGGGCACGGGGTGCTCACCTCCTCCCCCTTATCATGGCTTATTTTGAGTAAAGATATAATGCAGAGTGAAGAAAAGCCGGTAGGTGAACACATACACACAAAATCACCCCCATTCCTTTGCTCAAGGTCTGGATCCGCCATGGCATGCATTATCTCCCCTGAATTCTACCAAAATGTCATTTTTGGGGGTCCTGGTCCCTGGACTAAGATGAACTAAGGGACGAGTTAGTGGGCGATGCAATCGGTGACATGGTATTCGAGAACAGAGGCGTTGTTCCACTAAACATTGTGGTGGCACTAGCGAGGTCGGTGCTCGAAAACGATGACGATGGCGTCGTCATCTTGTGTAATTGTGAAGGGGTATAAGAAGTGACCTGAAAGGATTTCGTTGCCGAAGGACTACTTTTGACGATGGAAGCTTCTGCAGAGAAGTGAGATAGCGGAGCACTACTTTTGGCGGTCTTAGCTTCTGCAGAAGAGAAGTGAGATAGCGCTGCACTACTTTTGGCGATCGTAGCTTCTGCAGAGAAGTGAGATAGCACTGCACTACTTTTGGCGATCGTAGTTTCTGCAGAGAAATGAAATCGTGTAAACATGTTACATGTTTAATTTTCTCTTCTTTTCTAACTACTTTACCAGCAGCCTCTGTGAGATGATCGAGGGATTATTTTTCTTCGTTTATCTGTGATCACCTTCAACTTCCGGTCACACCAGCTAGAACTAGAGAGAATATATTCGGATCATCTTTTCTTTTTCTCTCTGTCCTTTGTTTAAAATTATAATAAAAATAATTGTAATAATTTAAACTGTAAGTTTGGTGGCACACTAGGTACTCACGAATGTTAGTTTGTTCTGTCTACCTTACAAAAATCGAAAAGCTCGAATTATTCATCAGTGCAATTGTTCATTTCAGTGACAAGAAACCAATGCTCTTAAACTAGACGCTTAATGACAACGCAACTATTTAGGCAGTACAATTTCAGTCTTCATCATTCTCAGGCTTCGAACTTATCGAAATATGTTTGACTGAGCAGGTAGTAGGATTAGAGATTCACTTTAATTTATGAGCAACACCGAAAAGCCATAAATTAAAAACCCTATTATCAAAGGGTTCACAGACTCTCAAAATATTTTTCCGATTCCAACATTCCAATTACAATGACGAAAGTGTCTTTGTTTATTTTTGCCCGCGTATTAGTTTTAAGCTTTGACAGATTGCATATCAAGATGGATCAGTTTACCAAGTGGAACTGAAGGCCGACTTGTAATCTTTACTGAAACAATTAATTACGTTTGGAGTAAATACCGTGATGTTACTCCTGGCCTATGATAAACAAATGAATAAAGGCTGATAGTTTCGAAAGAAACTGTTTGGGACTGCGTCGGTGGGAGTAACGAAATAATTTGGATATATCAACAAAGTTGAAATGGTAAATTGGCCACCGTAACGATTACAAAAGCTGACGCTTCGAGCGTTAGCCCTTCGTCGGAGCGAGTGGGCTAACGCTCGAAAGGGCTAACGCTTGAAGGGCTAACGCTCGAAACCGTCAGCNGTTTAGAAAATCCAGTTTATAACTTCCTCATTGACAAATTTCTACTACTCGTTGACAGTGCTCATTTTGACCGTCTCTCTTGCATCTTCAATTCAATGATCACTCTAAAGAGCTCGGCTCATGAACCTTTAATCTGGCCGAGCTCAACGCATGCATAGTTCCACGTCCGCAATCGATTCTAACGTTCTCCATATTTCATGGATTCTACTGACCAACTGTTCGATTAGTACACGCTTGTACTCAAGCTAGATATTCTGCTTGCCCACAGTCGACGTTCGAATGTTCTGTTTTTTTTTTTGTCATCTTGCCCAGTTCTCTCGTTCTCAGTTATAAATCAAATAAATAAGGCAAATGAAGTACTTTGACTTTAAAAACCATAGGTGGCCCATACAATCTGTTTGTGTAGCCGATTGTTGCTCTGTTATAGTGAATGTACCTGAATTACCGTTTGCCTCACCTATAGCGATATTGTCGA